GGTGTAAAACTGGGTTAGGAGAAAATTCCGTTGATTCCTACAGATTTTTAAAAAATAAGTGGGTTATCTAAGAGTGACCAAATACTTAAATCAGTTTGGCTCCTTTTTCCTTACTCTTGCCCCCAAAACTTCCCTAGCAATAGGAAAACTCAACTGCAGAGTTACAGTAGTTCTTCACACACTCATGATGAAGACAAAGGCTCTTGTCTTTGGTATTTGTATTTAGTTTAGCCACACCTGCATTATTCATAGATTCATATTAACCACACCTCCAAAATATTGAATGATACTAAATTTTTCTACCAAAGTTGTGCTCTCATATACTGCTAGAGTCAGTACAAAGCAATGCAACCACTTTATAAAATAATTTTGAAGTTTCTTATAAAGTTTAACAATATACTTTCAGTATGACCCAAAAATCTCACTCATAGATACTTCTCTGGGAGAAGTGAAAATATATGGCAACACAAAGAGATACACACATTTATTCCAGCTTTATTTTTCATATTCAAAAATGTGGCACCATAATCTTACTATTTGGAAGGCTGAAACAGGAGGATTGCCAGGAGTTCAAGGCCAGCCTAGGCTGCATAGTGAGTTCAAGGCCCATCTGAGTTACATAGCAAGACCCTGTCTCAAAAAAGAAATGACAAAAATGTGGCAATTCAAATACCTCCCAAGTGGTGAATGAATAAACACATTGAGATAAATTTATACAATGATGTATACTGCTTAGCAATAAAAAGAAATGGGTTCCTGATACACAAAACAACCAAGATAAATCTCAGAAGCGTTCTAAAGAATTCAGACACAAATGTCTGTGTACTACATAATTTCAATTTTATTCTAAAAAATAATATAAACATAAATCAATGGTTTGCAGAACTGGAGATGTGAAGAGAAAATTAAAAAGCATGAGGGAGTTTGGGGCAGATGGAAACATTGTGTAAATTGATTCCACTCATAGTTTCAGGACTATTTTAACAATCATCAAATGGTACCCTTAAAACAGTTAGATCTTACTTTATTTTAACTGTAACAGTAAACCTCACTAAACACAGAAGAAAAAAGATATGGTCATTCTAGGAATTGTAGAAGTGTAAAAAGATACAAAGAATAACATGAAATTCATCTCTCATCTCTCTAGCCAAATATTAACAAGTTTAACATTTGGTTGCATTTTCTATTCATACAGCACAAATACATCTGAGTACTTTTTAACTTAATACCATTTCCACATTTCATTAGCAATTATTTTTTACTATCATTTTTAATGACAACCTAATCATTTCTAAGTATTGAACCTTAGATTGTTTTTGAGTATAAAAACTCAAACAATATTGATTTTTTTTTCTTTTTTCTCTCCTTTTTAAAATACATAATTTTAATTTCAGAAATCTACTTTTATACCAGTAAAAATGCAGCTTACAATGATGCATTATATCTAATTCCAAAACTCATCCTTATAGCAAAAACACAGATTTATGGAAGTAAAATGTAATGTACAGATTTAGTACAGTAAACTTAGTACAGTTACCCTTTCTAATGTATTTTATTCATGTCTGTTTTTTCATTAGAATTTTGTCCAGCCAATAAAGATATTAAGAAGACAGATGTTTATATTTTTCTGCATATTATTTATAACACTTCTTTATAGGTAATCTTTTGTTGGATGTTGTTTTCATATGTGAAGAGTCAGTAAAATTCTTTTTTGTGTGTATGTTGTTGACAACTATTATGTTTCTTTTTTTTTTAGTTTTAGTTTTTATTTGTACATTTTTTGCAGTACATAATGATTACATTCCTTGTGTGGAGTTGGTACATGTACATTAACACATCTCAATTGTTTTTTCATTATCTTTTTTCCTTTCCTTCCTTCTCTCTCCCTCCCATTTTTTGACCCCCTTCCCATTTGAAATAGATCTATCTCCCTACTTTCTATTATCTACTTTTTTATTTTACTTTTTAGTTATATTTTGTATTTCTCATATGTGATAAATCATGTAATGTTTAATGTTTTGTGTCTGATTTATTTCACTTAGCATTATGGTCTCAACGTGTATAATACCAGAAAGTTTCTGGGTGTAATCGATTGCTGTCTATGGTCAATAGAATTTTTTGTATAATGCAACAGACCAAAATACTGCAGGGCTCAACATTCAAATGTTTAATTTGGTTTCAGTTTCAATTTCCCTCATATTTATTACAATATCTTCCACTGATACCAGTGTAACATTCCCTAATACGCAGGTATGCATCTAACTCTTCCTCTTCTTTTTGTCTTCAGAAAAACCTTACACTTTTACTGCACATTTTTTAATCTTCCATTTTGAATGATGTTGGAGTTGACTAGCATTCTTCATGGTGGACGTTCACCATCTACCAGATTGACACTAACTTGCGTGTAGTGTTGATATATTGCATATCACTATTCACATTCATTTGATATGACCCTGAAGCCCAGAAGGCTGCTAAGTGAGGCCCTTTGAAAAAGCTGAGACGTACACTGTGGTCACAGGCAAAGGTTGTTGTGAATGGCCTCTGTGGCTCCCAGAGAGCTATTAGGTACACGTACTGCTAGTTCACTTTTGTAAAGGGGCAGCTGTCATGTCCACAGTATCTAGTTCCTGAGGTCATTGCTGTTAACCCTGTAATAGAAGCTTGGATGTGTGCATTTCAGGAAAGGGAAATTATATATGAAAGACAGAAAGAGAGCAGCTGAACACCTATCACTAGGACCACAGAGGAGAAATTAAAGGCTAGAGCAAAGGTGTGCAAAGGGTTTTAAGGGGAGCTTGAGAAGAAACAGTGAGCAGGTGAGCAGTAGACATCTCTGCTGGTTAGTAAGTGAATTAACATATTCACAAGCACAGATAATGTTCTGAAGGCCAAATAGAAGTTCACCAAATGCTTCAGCTAGCTGGTGTGTCTAACAGAAAACAATGTAATTGAATTGGACCATTTGAGTGATTCTTCCAATACAAGAGCATGCTTGTTTTATTTTGACTTTAAGTAATTGTATGTTTTCCCTAATTATGAAAATTTATAAAATAAAGGGAATAAATGAGACTTAAGTCTTCTATAATTCTACTGCTCAAAGATCCTACTGCTATTTTGAAATATTCACTTTATAGGTATTTCCTCACAAGTTTAAAACAAAGTATGGGAGTAGTATTGAATCCTGCTCTTTTTCACATAATAGTATATGATGAGATCTTTCCTGTTACTATTTTTATCAAAAACATGATTTCAGTTACAGTGTAGGATTTCTTTCTGTGGATATGTCAAGATTTGGTAAATAAATAGATTCATTCATAGGAAAATGGATACATATTGAAGATATACTCTTAAATGAAATAAATAAATCACACGTGTAAATACCAAATAGTTTCTCTGGTGTGAATAATCTGCAATAATACATAAGATCCTAATAAGATTACTGACATTTAGAAATGGGAAGAAAGGAGCTAAAGGTGTAGGGAAGGTGGGATGGGTAGGGGAAGGGTAATAAGGGAAAAGAAGAAAATGTGAGATAATGAAAAGATGGAAATAAAGTGTTTGTAGATGGGGAGGAAAAGAGCGGGTGAAGGGAGGGCAGGGACAAGGGGAAAAAATGAGAACCAGTACCTGTCATGTAGAGGTACAAGATCCCAACAATGAAAGTAACTGTACTGTATCCCTAAAATGTACCAATTAACTCAATTAAAGCTGGAAAAAAAAAAGATTTGGTAAATAATTCCCTTACTGTTAGACATTTAAGTAATTACCAGTTTTCAATAATGTAAACTAGGTGCCATGTAGAATACAATTTTAGGTGTATTACTTTTACCTTAATAATTCCAGAATGAAAAGATAGGATTGTTTCTCTATAATGTCATGAAAACAAAAACCTCATTATTCAGATTTAATTGCAGTTTTGGCACTCTGCGATAAATAAGTGGGTTTGGGTTTGCAATTTGGGTACTTGCCTCTAAAAGCTTCTCCATCACTGGTCTAGAGTTTTTAAGCCACTAAATAAGCTATTAGCCATGTTGCTCTTTTTTATCATTTATGATTGTATGTAAATTAAATTAATTTAAGTAAACTCCGCGTTGTTAAGCTTCCACTCCAGAAAAAAATTGTGACAAAGTGTTGAAAGTATTTATTTTAAAAATTAGACTGCTCTTACTACTTTTCTACAAGATAATGTATATGATTTTAAAACAGCTCACTCCACATCAGATTCACCCTCAGTTAGTTTTTAATTTCTTCTTTGACATCCCAGGATACAGCATATCCTCTATACATTCACTAAGAGCAGAAATTCAGTTCTCAAATAATTGGTCACATTAGTCATTTCCATTCAGATTATGTTGATGCAAAGTTAAAAGGTGTGGTTAAAGTAATATTTACACTATTATCTGAAGTTTGAAATTTTTAAAAAATGTATAGTGAGATGCTTCCTAAAATCAAGTAAGTTCCAAACGGATAGATCTAGCAGGAACCTGGGAAATGAGGAAATCCTATCCTGCCACTTGATAGGTGAGGAAGTGAGGACTGAGATTGGTACAGGCACATCTTGGGGTTACCCAGCTGGACAGTGACCCTTCCCCTGCATTCTTGACTCTGCAACCAGCTTCTTCTTGAGCTACACGACTCGTCTTTAGTCATCCAAGAACCACAGCGCTGTCCCGTGTCCTCAGTTCATAGCCTCTGTTTCCCCTAAGAAGTGTGTGTAAGAATAAAATTCCAACTGGTTCTCTGATTATCCTTTCTAACTCCTACTTCGTTCAATTTGTGGTAAGGAGTGACAAATTGATAAGTCACATAAATCAATTCCCTTTCAAGAACCTGGAATAAGCTCAGTCATCTTGTCACACAGAAGCTGCATGTTGTCTCGGATCCCAAATGAACTAAACTTTGCCTTTAGCAGTCTAGTTTCAATACCTATAGAACAAATGTGATTATAGAGACCATAGCATTACTCATGTATCCTTTTCCTTATTTATTTTTCTTACTAGGTATCTGTATGCTGTTGGACAAAAGGTTTGGAAAAGATGGAAAAAACGTTACTTTGTTCTCGTTCAGGTCAGTCATTTTCCTCCTGTTAACATAATCACTCTAACACACTAGTTCTCGAACTTTCATTTCTGTGGGTTATGTCTGCTGATATTCACTGTGTTAGAAATTTAAACTGAGAAACTTTTTAAATGATTTCTTTTAAAATAAAAGGCACAGCACCTCCCTGGCAAGCATGAGGTCCTGAGTTCGGTCCACAGTACCAAAAATAAAGTAATAAATCCACGACATGCTAATACAAATAACATTTTTACATCAAATGACTTTCCCAAGCTAAGCATATTAATGAATTGAGTGACATTGTGTTTTATACAGCTTTATTATCTAGCCTAACGTAGCTGTTTTCTCCTATCAGGCTGATTGTACAACTTGTTGCAATAGGAGATGAAAGGTAGCCTCCGGACAGCTGTGCTATACACTCAGAAGAAAATAAAGTGTGAAAAAGGCAAAAATATCTGAATATTGTTACAAAAACAGTTTTGACCTCACAGGTATCCTGAAAAGATCTTGAAGATCTGTAGGATTCCAAGGCCATCTCTTCAAAACAGTTATATTACCCTGATATTCTGAGACAAACGATAGATATTTATCACTCATTTTCATGCAATCATGCTACATAAATCACTTATTCACATAAATATGTCTAAATCAACTTCACTGCTGTGTTTATTGGTGACTGGATCACGAATATAGATTTTTGGAATATGCAATTTGGCTGATCTTATTTTAAATCATGGGCAAGCTTTTCTCATAAAATATATAAATTAAGTTACATTTACATTAATGCATAAGTCATTGCATTCCATGAAACATTCAGGCTACCTCATTCTTGGCAGAAATATATAAAAGGAGAATCACTCTTAGAATTCTTAACACAAAACAGTCTGTAAAATCCCATTGATTCGCACCACACATTAAGCAAGCTTAACTGGGCTAAGTCAGAATGACATGGTGAAATGCCAAGGGAGGAAAACTATCATTTGCTATCATCCACAGACAGAACCATCCATCAATCGGTGGATAAAAATTACTTTGTTCATATCCCGATAGCATGGTATCTTCATAAAAAGTGTAAAACTTCCGTCAAAAGTAGTTTTAGCTGCATGGCAGCCAGCTAGCCTATTTTATTTCCGGGCTGAATTATAACATTTTCTTAAGTGTTTAGAAGAATTCAGTAAAACACACACATACACATGCATGCACACATGCAGTGTCAACCTTTTGCTACAAAGCTCAAGAATTTAACTTCTCTGTTCAGAGTGCTGAGTGATCTACTCTCCAGAAGCTACATCCATGAGACCATCTATAGTTTTCAGGTTTTGGTTTTTCACATTAGCACAAGAATTGAAGGGCATTTTTGAAGTCGTTTGAATGTAGATCTTTCTGGATATTTTATTCCTAAAATACAGATAGCTACATCTAAATTGACTAGTTTGTAATGGCTTTAGCATGCCTTTTTCAAGCATTCTATTATTTTTCTCAGAGAAGTAGAAGCTGTTTTTTTTTTTTAGTTACATTTCATGCATTTATATAGAATTTCACTTAATTCTATATTTTGAGTAGTTGATGTTACTGGCATAAGCTCGTTTGAGAGGAACACAGGCTATTAGCATGAAGTTTAATTGGTAGAGATATGTATGAAAGAATGTGAGACTCTAACATGGTAATGACAGATATTCAGTGAATCCTTTGCATTAATCGTTATGCTATAAAGAATAAAGGACATGTGTCACTATGGAGACCTGGTTAAATGTCAGTAGGCTAAGAGTTTTTCAGGGTGTAGTTCAGCGACAGAGTGCTTCCTAGTTAAATATAAGGCCCTGGGTTCAAATTCCAGCACCACAAAAATAAACATAGGACTTTCTAATGTACTGATTATTTCAACATGAAAAATAGATTTTGTAGAGGTCAAATGATCATTTCATGGTTTTGACCAGAAAAGGTTGAAGGTGATCCTGTACTTCATATTTTCTAGCATACAATCCCAAGAATCAACAGTTATGGAACATGTATACTTTATCGCCTCCTAGAGTTTAGAAATTAAAGACACAATTGAATTACCTTAGGATCATTGATTTGTATGTCTTTGGAGAAGATTAATTGTGAAGCTACAAGTACTTCCAATATTTAAAATATGTGTTTTACCTTTTAAAAGGCAAAATTCAATTTAAATCAAAGTAGGTGGGAAACATATGATTCATATTTGAAATTCAGGAAAAATAACACCAGATTGTAATAAATTTGGTTTCATTCTACCTGTAGTAACATGTTGAACTTTGAAATACTATTTCAGTACAATATGTCTATACTTACGTATGTATATATTTACACAAACACTCATACAGAGACTCCCATGCCTGAGTGTATTGAAATATGCATGCCAGTACTCTGACAACTTTTTGAAGTACTGAACACAATTGAATCTTCAATTCTAAATGTAATGGGAAGAAAAATTGAATGGTCCGTTCAA